AATCTATTCTATATCAATCATATACTATGTAGGGCTATACTATGAATAAATTACAGTTAGAGTGCAGCACAAAAAGTTCCGATCCTAACATTTTCCATTTCAGCAAAATTCAAAAGGTTCCACTACAATTGTAAGTTCAAAAAATAAACTTTTGCCTTATTTGAATATTATTTTCAAAATTTAGTCAAACTTATCTGCATTCAAAAAAAATATCTATTAAATTGCAATTTTATGATCTGAAAACTGAAATGTTTAAATTCATGTCATTGTTTCAAAAATATTTTCAATCTTCAATTATTTCCACTCCTTTAAATGACAATAAACTAATCCAAAACTTTACAAAAACTGTAAATAGAAATCATTTTGATTAATTTTTATTATGACAGTAATTGACTTAAACATTCAATATTATTCAAAAATGTTTTAATGGATTTCAATGCCTAAAATTTGTTTATTTTTGAATAATAAACTAAACTTAAGATCTTCCTTTATTTTTAAAATTTCTATTATAACAAATGCATCTTTTTTAGTATAAAAATATTTTAATTTACTTTGTAAAACTAAATAGTAAAGAAAAAGTTTGCTCAATTTCACAATGTTCAATGTTAACTCAGGATATTCTTCAATATTTTAATTCTTGAAGTTAGACTATTTACAAAAACATATTAATATTTTCGAGTCTATCATTAAATCCTTTTACACAAACCACAGTTATATATATAATTTGGTTAGAAGATAAAACTTCTTTAACAGACAAATAATAAAAGATAAACATTCACGTTTAAAAATGATCAAATGCCAGCCTTTATCATTTTTAAACGTGAATTTTTTATCTTTTATTATTTGTCTGTTAAAGAAGTTTTATCTTCTAACCAAATTATATATATAACTCTGTTTTCTGTGGTTTGTGTAAAAGGATTTAATGATAGACTCGAAAATATTAATATGTTTTTGTAAATAGTCTAACTTCAAGAATTAAAAAAAAGTTTGCTGTTTCATCAAAACAGCACAGCATGGCTATGGAATGTACTGTACATACATTGCACACATACCATCCCATCTACATCTATACTTTTCTTTAACTGCATTGCAAATTCAGCAAGATTAGGAAATTAAATCCAATCTAACATATCAAATTAAAAATATCCTAGTGTAATTTGAATGTAATAAATTAATATATTTCATCAATAAATAATGACATCTCAAAACAAAGCTATAAAATGAAACTTTAAAGAATGTAATAATCTTAAGAAATGGCAAAAATTTGCATTTAATTTATAATAAATAAAATTACTATTAAACATTAAAAATTTCATAGTTCTGTTTTCTCTAAGCATAATTCAAGAGAGCTTTATAATGTCACAATACAATATGCAGTATACAAAGAAAATAACTTTATTTTCTCAAAATATTGACATGTTAGTTTTCAGAATTTGACTAACATTTTTCATAATTAGTAAAATTGCAAAATAATTTTTATAGGCAATAGATACCCTGTATTTCAAATGTAACTGTTTTTCTAGAACTTGAAAGTGGCCATTCAAACTGATCAAAAATATTCATTTACTATAACTTTAATGAATTAAAAAGTTTGTTATGCATATGTTCACTATAATTCAATTTTTTTTAAATAATCCATGATTCAATAATGAAATATTGATGTGATATTAAAAATACTTTAAATTTAAAAATTAAAAAGTCAATAAAATTAATAACTACATTCTTTGTTACTTAATCTATACCTTTTGTCAGAAAAGTTCAGGACAAAGCTCGATAATTGCAATTTTCTATTTTTTTACAAGTAATGATCCTAGCTCCTGGCAAAGCTCCTTCAGCTATCTATACACAATTTCCAATGTTTCTGAAGTCCTGGAAGCAAGCAGAGAAAGCTTCAAGTGTGATGCTTGTTAGCTCATTTGTCACAGTCCATTGGATGTCTGCAATATCTTGACAAAAGGTCCCTTTCAGTTGCAACCCTTTGTCAGAAAAGTGATTTTTCTTGTTTCTGTGAGTGAAAAAGCAACTGACATTTCATCAAGATATCACAGACATCCAACAGACTGTGACAAATGAGCTAACAAGCATCACACTTGAAGCTTTCTCTGCTTGCTTCCAAGTCTTCCAGAAACATTAGGAATTGTGTATAGATAGCTGAGAGGACTACTTTGCCAGGAGCTAGGATCATTACTTGTAATTGCAATTTTCTATTTTTTACAAGCTTTGTCCTGAAACTTTTCTTACAAAGGATGTACTTTTCATGTAGTGGTATTATGAAAATAAAAAAGTTGNCATTAGGAATTGTGTATAGATAGCTGAGAGGACTACTTTGCCAGGAGCTAGGATCATTACTTGTAATTGCAATTTTCTATTTTTTACAAGCTTTGTCCTGAAACTTTTCTTACAAAGGATGTACTTTTCATGTAGTGGTATTATGAAAATAAAAAAGTTGGATTAAACATTTTTAATTAATCATTAATCCAACATTGAAAGTATAATGAAAGATTGAAATTAACCAAATTCTGTGCAGCTGCCAATATTTGATGGGATAGTCTATGTGAAAAAGCAATAGAGAACTGTTTAACAATTTATAAACAATAAAAGACTTTGCATTAATAATGACAAAAATATTACACACATTCAAATAATTTATCTAGGGATTGTCTTACACTAATTGGTTAGAAATATGTCTTCAGCAAACAATAATCAAATAATGAAAAACACGACAGTTCCTCTTGTTAATAATATACAGGTTGAGTCAAAATTATGTGAACAATCTTAATTTTTAATTAAACATATTAATGAAATATCTGAATTTTGTTTCATTTTCTATTCCAATTGGTCGCGATAAACCGTTGTTATGGCCTCCCCAATCTCCGGTGTTCTGGCACTAAATTGTACTGTTGAACATTGGTTTGAGTGCATTGAGCTGGTGGTCAGGTTGAGACTCTGTATAATGCAAACATTCAGTAAATGCTTTCTCTCAAATAGTGTTCACGTAATTTTGACTCACCCTGTATTATGACAGTCCATCTGTTATAATACATCATTAATAATTTCATGAAATTTATTGAAATAAAAAATATATTTTTTAATGTAATAAATATTTTTCATGACAAAATCTTTTCCTCCCATCAACTGATGGTTAAAGTTCAAATGATATCACAATTAACCAGATTAAAATATTGNAACTGAAATCTGTTCTTTGACTAACACTGTCCGAATCTTCAGTAACGATATCAGAATGGAGTTTGGACTGGACAAGTGTGCAACTGTGGCACTGAGGAGGGGCAAAATCACAGAAAGTGAGGGTATTAATATGCCAAATGATCAAACCATAAAGTGCCACCAGCCAGAAGCCTACAAATACCTGGGCATACTGCAGCTGGACAGTATCAGGCACGAGCAAGTGAAAACTGTCATTAGTAGAGAGTACACTCAGAGGATTAGAAAGATTCTCAAAAGCAAGCTCAATGGAGGCAATACCATCAAGGCCATGAACACCTGGGCTACACCTGTCATAAGATACACTGCGGGTGTTATAAACTGGACACAAGCAGAATTGGACAATCTCGATAGCAAAACAAGAAAACTCATGGCCATTTATTGTTCGCTACATCCGCGCAGCGATGTAGACCGGTTGTATCTGCCTAGAAGGTTGGGTGGTAGAGGCCTATTATAAGTAAAACAAACTGTTGAAGAAAAATATGCACTGGCAGAATATGTCAAGGACAGTGGTGAGCCTGCATTGATTGCTGTCAATGATAGAAAACTCCTTAAAGCATAGCAGACAAAGAATCAGTATAAGAAAACTACATTACAAGCTAGAGCTGACAGCTGGCGTAATAAGGCGTTACATGGACAGTTCCTGGACAAAATTGAAGGAAAAGTGGATAAAGAAAGAACCTGGTTATGGCTTACCATTGGAGCATTGAAGGAGGAGACAGAAGGCCTGATTTTTGCAGCCCAGGAACAAACAATCAGAACAAATGCAATTAAGGCAAGAATCGAAAAATCTGCTGATGATCCAACCTGCAGACTATGTAAAGAAGTGGATGAAACTATTGATCATATTCTCATCTGCTGCAAAAAAATTGCACAGACAGACTATAAACAGAGACATAATTCTGTGGCCAAAATGATCCATTAAAACCTGTGCCACAACTATCATATACCTACAGGAAAAAATTGGTGGAAACATAACCCCGAAAAAGTAGTTGAAAATGAATGTGTCAAAATACTATGGGACTTCCGGATTCAGACTTATAAAGTTCTGGAACATAATACGCCAGACTTCACGATTGTGGAGAAGAAGAAAGTAGGGATTATAGATGTCGCCATACCGGGTGACAGTAGAATTGACGAAAAACAACAAGAAAAACTTAGCCGATATCAGGACCTAAAAATTGAACTGCAACGTCTCTGGCATAAACCAGTACAGGTGGTCCCAGTGATTATCGGCACACTGGGGGCTGTGCCAAAAGATCTTAGTCGGCACTTACAAGCCATAAATATTGACAAAATTACCATCTGTCAGTTGCAAAAGGCCACCTTACTTGGATCTGCTCGCATCATTCGAAGATATATCACACAGTCTTAAACGCTTGGGAAGTGTTCGACTTGTGGTTTTATGTTTTTGTTAACCAGCATTTCTACCCTGTTTGCTGTGTGGACATTGAATAATAACTTTTTGTAATAATATTTGTACAACTATTTTCAAATAAAATGTTTACAATTTGTTTTCTTTAGCCATTATAACAAAAAACTTCATTATAATAAAGTAATTTGTGAGGTCCCAACAGATCTGTTATGAAATTTTAAAATTGTATTATTTCATTAATGATAAAATATATTAATATTTTATGGTTTTCCAACTCATTTTTAATTTATAATCTTTTAATTACTAAATATAACTTCAATGTATTAAAAATTATTGTACTTACTTAAACATTTCTTATCAATTATGAATGGATTCAAAAGATAAAATAAGGAGATAATCTTACCTTTTCATCTTCAGAATCAGCTCTATCCAGATCATCCATACCCAAATCCTCTTGACTGTCGATATTGCTATCACTGTCATTTAATTTTCCTTCAAAAAAAAAAAAATAATGTCCAATTTCATATCAATACCAATAGAAAAAATAAATATATAATACTTTTGACATTAAAATAAATCGGTGATAAAATCAAACTATATTTGGATATTTTGTTGAAAATGGCCATAGACTATCTTTCATATATTTAAGACATTATTTTTCTATTTCATTTATACTAAAAAAAATTTGTTTCTATTTTATTTCTAATCTCCAATTAGGTGAATTATATTTTATTACATAATGTTAAATAAATTACAATTGAGGTATTGTGTCAAAGGGCAAACTCAACATTGCATCTTTATTTTACCGAGTGAACTTACCTAGTAGTAATAGTTTGATTTATGTATTACATGGATCAATGCAAACTATTACTACTACCATTGTAGAGATAAGTTCACTTGGTAAAAGAAAAACACTCAAATGTTAAGTTTGCCATTTGTAGAGACAAAATACTTTACGTACTTTTCCAGCAAATTACTCTTTAATCGAACTAACATTTTCTGCTTTATTAATAAGCCTTCATTGAAATTTTTGAGATTCAAATTGGAACAATATTTATAATTCTGTTAATTTTAGAACAATAATACATTTTCTTTTAAAAAATATAAATGGGATTATTGATTAAGTTACAAATAAAATAAAATATAAATTTAAAAAATAATAATATACTAAAAAATGTACTATTAAGAATAAGGGTAAATAAAATGAAATCATTTGAAGTGCTATGATGATGTCATGTTTTGCACTGTATTACGATTTTTGCCACCCTTCATTTCTAAGCGGGTTATCAAATAGCGACTCCATGCATAGGTGTCCATCCATGCACAATCTCTGCTGTTAAATGTAGATTTAAATATTTTCAATATTTCCGCTATTCGTAGTCTGTATTCATTGTGTACTCATTTTATAAGTTAAACCCTGCTAAAATCTGTTGACACCTCAGCAGATTTTAGCAGGGTTTCTGCATATTGAGAAAGTATTTTAGTACAGTTATAGTATATTAGTAGCAAGTATGAGCGATGTATTTTAGATTTCTATCAAATCTAACATTGTATACATGGACAGAGTACACACCAAGGGCTTTATTTGGGTCAACATAATCCTTGCCATTACTTAGTATATACATTACAACAATATAGATTACTCTGTATATTGTTCCCCACATTTGTATGCACTTCAAATGCATACAAACAGGATAGTAAGACAATCACACGCCATCAATGCTGTAAGAAATCGGGCTAGAACAAGGCTATAATATTAATTTAAATTACAAAATAATTTTGGTACTAGAGTAAGGTGCCATCTCTTATTAACATTAATAATGTTAATAAGAGATGGCAATTTAAATTAATATTATAGCCTTGTTCTAGCCCGATTTCTTACAGCATTGATGGCGTGTGGTTTGGAAAGTGTTGGGTAGTGATATTATTGTATTCTTAGTAAGACAATCATTGAACACGACATATATATTAAATAAAAGCATACAAATACTGTAAAATTCATGTAACTTTGATTAAATCAAATACAAAATCCTTTTTTTTACTATGAATCAATTCTGATAAATTTCAAATAGATATAACTACCGTAAAAACATACTAATCATCTAAATGTTCAAAATGGCAGTCAACAGTCAACAGCTCTTTATTAATGATTAATTAAGCATTAGAATCATCTATTGAATTATATAGTCTATAACAAAATGTTCACTTAAAGATATTAAATGTTCACTTAAAAGTGAAATTCAAAATGTTCAATAGTAAACCATCTGAAAGATCTTAATAAAAAAATTATTTACTGGAGAAGCCATATTGAACTTTTTACATAATCAATATTGATGGAGTTGAAAACACATTCAAAATTAAAAAACTTACTGTTTGATCTTTTAGGAGTAGGTTTTTTAATAAGTGAAATTTCAACAGGAACTTCAAATAAATAATTTTCTGGATCATGTCCTTCATCTTGTAAAGCCTAATGTATATTAAAAATTTATTATAATTATTAATTTATAATAATAAATTAATATACCATACTTTCTGGTGTATAAGACGACCCCCGACTTTTACAGTTAAAATATAGAGTTTGGGATATACTCGCCCTATAAGACGACGCCCGATTTTTGAGAAGATTTTTCTGGGTTAAAAAGTCGTCTTATACGTCGGAAAATACGATATATAATAATGTAATTGTTTCATGTAAAAGCTACCTCTAAATATTTTTAATGAGTATATATATAATTTATTAATATTAATCTATTCTATATCAATCATATACTATGTAGGGCTATACTATGAATAAATTACAGTTAGAGTGCAGCACAAAAAGTTCCGATCCTAACATTTTCCATTTCAGCAAAATTCAAAAGGTTCCACTACAATTGTAAGTTCAAAAAATAAACTTTTGCCTTATTTGAATATTATTTTCAAAATTTAGTCAAACTTATCTGCATTCAAAAAAAATATCTATTAAATTGCAATTTTATGATCTGAAAACTGAAATGTTTAAATTCATGTCATTGTTTCAAAAATATTTTCAATCTTCAATTATTTCCACTCCTTTAAATGACAATAAACTAATCCAAAACTTTACAAAAACTGTAAATAGAAATCATTTTGATTAATTTTTATTATGACAGTAATTGACTTAAACATTCAATATTATTCAAAAATGTTTTAATGGATTTCAATGCCTAAAATTTGTTTATTTTTGAATAATAAACTAAACTTAAGATCTTCCTTTATTTTTAAAATTTCTATTATAACAAATGCATCTTTTTTAGTATAAAAATATTTTAATTTACTTTGTAAAACTAAATAGTAAAGAAAAAGTTTGCTCAATTTCACAATGTTCAATGTTAACTCAGGATATTCTTCAATATTTTAATTCTTGAAGTTAGACTATTTACAAAAACATATTAATATTTTCGAGTCTATCATTAAATCCTTTTACACAAACCACAGTTATATATATAATTTGGTTAGAAGATAAAACTTCTTTAACAGACAAATAATAAAAGATAAACATTCACGTTTAAAAATGATCAAATGCCAGCCTTTATCATTTTTAAACGTGAATTTTTTATCTTTTATTATTTGTCTGTTAAAGAAGTTTTATCTTCTAACCAAATTATATATATAACTCTGTTTTCTGTGGTTTGTGTAAAAGGATTTAATGATAGACTCGAAAATATTAATATGTTTTTGTAAATAGTCTAACTTCAAGAATTAAAAAAAAGTTTGCTGTTTCATCAAAACAGCACAGCATGGCTATGGAATGTACTGTACATACATTGCACACATACCATCCCATCTACATCTATACTTTTCTTTAACTGCATTGCAAATTCAGCAAGATTAGGAAATTAAATCCAATCTAACATATCAAATTAAAAATATCCTAGTGTAATTTGAATGTAATAAATTAATATATTTCATCAATAAATAATGACATCTCAAAACAAAGCTATAAAATGAAACTTTAAAGAATGTAATAATCTTAAGAAATGGCAAAAATTTGCATTTAATTTATAATAAATAAAATTACTATTAAACATTAAAAATTTCATAGTTCTGTTTTCTCTAAGCATAATTCAAGAGAGCTTTATAATGTCACAATACAATATGCAGTATACAAAGAAAATAACTTTATTTTCTCAAAATATTGACATGTTAGTTTTCAGAATTTGACTAACATTTTTCATAATTAGTAAAATTGCAAAATAATTTTTATAGGCAATAGATACCCTGTATTTCAAATGTAACTGTTTTTCTAGAACTTGAAAGTGGCCATTCAAACTGATCAAAAATATTCATTTACTATAACTTTAATGAATTAAAAAGTTTGTTATGCATATGTTCACTATAATTCAATTTTTTTTAAATAATCCATGATTCAATAATGAAATATTGATGTGATATTAAAAATACTTTAAATTTAAAAATTAAAAAGTCAATAAAATTAATAACTACATTCTTTGTTACTTAATCTATACCTTTTGTCAGAAAAGTTCAGGACAAAGCTCGATAATTGCAATTTTCTATTTTTTTACAAGTAATGATCCTAGCTCCTGGCAAAGCTCCTTCAGCTATCTATACACAATTTCCAATGTTTCTGAAGTCCTGGAAGCAAGCAGAGAAAGCTTCAAGTGTGATGCTTGTTAGCTCATTTGTCACAGTCCATTGGATGTCTGCAATATCTTGACAAAAGGTCCCTTTCAGTTGCAACCCTTTGTCAGAAAAGTGATTTTTCTTGTTTCTGTGAGTGAAAAAGCAACTGACATTTCATCAAGATATCACAGACATCCAACAGACTGTGACAAATGAGCTAACAAGCATCACACTTGAAGCTTTCTCTGCTTGCTTCCAAGTCTTCCAGAAACATTAGGAATTGTGTATAGATAGCTGAGAGGACTACTTTGCCAGGAGCTAGGATCATTACTTGTAATTGCAATTTTCTATTTTTTACAAGCTTTGTCCTGAAACTTTTCTTACAAAGGATGTACTTTTCATGTAGTGGTATTATGAAAATAAAAAAGTTGGATTAAACATTTTTAATTAATCATTAATCCAACATTGAAAGTATAATGAAAGATTGAAATTAACCAAATTCTGTGCAGCTGCCAATATTTGATGGGATAGTCTATGTGAAAAAGCAATAGAGAACTGTTTAACAATTTATAAACAATAAAAGACTTTGCATTAATAATGACAAAAATATTACACACATTCAAATAATTTATCTAGGGATTGTCTTACACTAATTGGTTAGAAATATGTCTTCAGCAAACAATAATCAAATAATGAAAAACACGACAGTTCCTCTTGTTAATAATATACAGGTTGAGTCAAAATTATGTGAACAATCTTAATTTTTAATTAAACATATTAATGAAATATCTGAATTTTGTTTCATTTTCTATTCCAATTGGTCGCGATAAACCGTTGTTATGGCCTCCCCAATCTCCGGTGTTCTGGCACTAAATTGTACTGTTGAACATTGGTTTGAGTGCATTGAGCTGGTGGTCAGGTTGAGACTCTGTATAATGCAAACATTCAGTAAATGCTTTCTCTCAAATAGTGTTCACGTAATTTTGACTCACCCTGTATTATGACAGTCCATCTGTTATAATACATCATTAATAATTTCATGAAATTTATTGAAATAAAAAATATATTTTTTAATGTAATAAATATTTTTCATGACAAAATCTTTTCCTCCCATCAACTGATGGTTAAAGTTCAAATGATATCACAATTAACCAGATTAAAATATTGTTTTTGATCACCAAAATATTTTAGAATTTCAAGAAAAAAACAAACTCTTAGTAACTGAAAATAAACTAACAATAAAAGTAATTTATTAAAAAAATTAATTACTCCAAATCCTGTATAAGAAATAATATTCCATAATAAAATTAAAATCTAATTTATAATACACAAAATCTTAAACTCACCATATATTTGAAAGTTCACTACAGACTAGTGATATAAGTGCATATAAATTTAACAGAAATGAGAACTAGGTTTCAAGATCTTTTTTTTAGATGTTTTTACTTTATACTCTCAAATTTAACTCCATTTTTAATTGAAAAAGAAAAGGTTTCTGAAATTTGATATTATAATCTAATACTTTTGTTTATGTAATTTAATACTTTAATAAAAAGAAATCACCTGGCTCACAAAAAAATCTTAACTATAAAAAAAGAATTACAAGCATAAAACACAATACTCAATATTTATAAGCAAACATTACAAATGGCACTATAAAATGCAAAAATCAAAACAAAAAATCAATTATAATGATAATAATCATGTACCATAATTTGTAACAGTTGCAAGCTAAAAACTGAAATCATAAAATATTGATATTTATATAGTGAATTAGAATTAATGCAAACAATTTTTTTATAAAAAAGTAATTATGCCTATATCATTAGAATAAAAAAAACCTCAAAATTTTATTTTATGTAAGCTTGAAGCTTAAAAAAAGAATCAAATAAAAACACTCACTAGAACAAAAATATTTAAATGTAAATCTTAAACCATTAGTACAAGTATTTTCTTTATCTTAAAATTGTTCACAACTAATGGATCATTTGCTATATTAATCTCATCTTTCTCAACTAATAATCAATTTCTTCATATTAAGAAGCTATGTCAAGAACTGCCCACCAGCAGCCATGTGGTTCTGTCCCTGAATGCTGAGAATTCAATCATGGGTTCGCGCCTTGCCCGGACAGGCTGGCCACGTGGAGTTTTCCAGGTTTTCTCCACATATGTAACGCCTAAATAGGGGCCAGTTACCCTTAAAAGACCTCCATCACATAACCAGAGAAGGCAACTGGGAACCAGTCTGGTACTAACTTCTCCTAGGATATCACTTGGTGCAGAAACTAATCCATACTAACCTGCACTGGATGTTTGTGAATATCAGGGTGACCTGATATGGCACATGAAGAGAGAGAAATGTCAAGAACTACATTTTCAGATTAAAGTTTAAATGATTAGATTAGTATTTTTAATAGTACATCAAGAAAGACTTCAAAACATGGAATTCTATGACAAATTATTTCAGCAAGAGAAAAATATTTCTAATCATTAGAATAAATTTAATTTCAAACAAAAATTCCATTTGTCAGAAAAAATAATCTCATCATTTTCATAGTATTTTTGTATGTACAAGATGAATCATCACATAACTGGTAACAATTTTTAGGGATACCAAAATAAAATCTTTGTTTAATATGGAAGACATCTCTTACTTTAGAAAACAGACATTAAATTTTAATACAATCATACTTTTTACTTTTGAATAAAATTTTGAAAAATCAACAATTTATCATCATCTATCACAGAAACAACAAAAAATCCAATTATAGAGATCAGAAATTAATAATAATTTTTTAATGAATTGACAAAAACCTGATTTATTTAATACTACACATAATACATGATTAAAATGCAATAATATAA